GATGCACATTCCAATGTCAAATAAAAATAGTCTAGGGATTTATTACTTGAGGAAAAGTTTATTACCTACTTTAAAAATTACCCATGTCATTTCATTTCTGTTACTATTGCTAAAGTTAGTTTAGAGTTGTCTGTATTCATATTCTCAAACTACAAGAGCCTTTGCTTGATTCCTTATACCACACCATCTCTATGACTAATCTACAAAAGCTTGTCCTAAACTGAAAAGTTAGTGTACTATGCCACTAGCAAGGATCTTAACCAGATTTTTCTTTCTGGTTACACATGAATTCAACATAAGCAATCTTGACCCCAAAACACACTATTGTCTGAACTGTCCATCATCTCTGGGGTGCAAGGAACTAAAGGCCTGGATTGCTCTGGAGGTGTAAATATTCTAAGATTTTTACACAATATACTCATATTCCTTTTTTTCAAATAAAAACCTTCACAAGAGTGTACAAGATATTGAAATACCAAGAGAGGTGACCTTTGGTAAGCACATTCATGTTCTCTTGGGAAATAAAGAATAAAGTCATTCACCATCAAGTGCAATATTCCTCACTTCCACATGCCTAACGGAAGGAGTCAACATAGGTAGTTTCAAATTAAAACACAGTTGAAACAGCTCGGCTGAAAAGGGATCTCTGCAAAGAATGGGGAAAGAGGCGACAGGATGCTGTTTATTAAAACTTGAGTATGGTTATAACCTGCCAGGTCTTCATCTGTCATCCTCTCCCCATCGTACTGGTCACCAGGGCGAGCCCCGAGATGCTATCATTTAAGGTAAGGTTTGAAGATGACAGGAAACAGGATTTCATTGCAACGTGAGCACTGTTCCCACATATAAAAGCACATGACTCCAATAAGTAGAAAAGGGCAAAGGGTTTTTCTAACAATTTATGTGCTAGTGTTTAGAAGTCTTGCACTTGCTCATTACAGAGCCACTGCGGAGCCCAGTTCTGTAATGGAAGTGTGGAACCGGAGGCCTCATTACAGATGGAGGGAGGTCACATTACTCGCAGGGGACACAGCTGGTTCCTGGCAGGCCCAGATTAGAACCTCGAGCGTCCATGCTCCGCTCCCAAAAAACTCTCACGTCTTAAAATAACAGAGCATAAGGAATTGGAACACACAGTCAAAGGTGCCCCAGAATTAGTTTCTGTAAAATGGACACTAGTAAACTAATCAAGTGGTGCGCTGGCCACTCCTCCCCACTGATTATATTCGTTAAATCGGCAAACAAAACTCATCTAAATTTTCTTAAGATATGCTTTTGTCTTATTTCTTTTCAAATCCTTAAAAGCCATAGTATTAAAAAAACAAAAAGTTCACTTCATTCCTTAAAGATGCTGTTTAAAATGACAAGTATCAAATCAAAATATGCCACGACTCTGCTTTCTCATTCACCAGCAAAGTCTTTTATGAACATGTAGAACCTGTCAAGTAAAAAAAAAAAAAAATTACTTTGCAATCTCGATTAATAAGAATGCCCCCTAAACTTTGGTGGTACTATATATGGAATATGAAAAAGCACTCATCCCCAGGGCTACTAAAAGAGAAAGTGAAGGAAATTCTAAGTTAGCATCATTTGGATGAAGAGGTCATAGTTCACACAGTTGTCACACAGGAGGTTCTGCTGGCTTCATCCACAACAGGTTTGGGGCCTTCAAAACTATTCCATAGTGGTTCATGAGCATGTTTGCATATACGAAGTATTTAGCGTTATACAGATTGCCCTTTTTGTGGGGAGTTTTCTATCTCCAGTCAATATCACAAGTTCCAGTTTTAGAAAATGCAAAAGCATGATCCCACATCCATTTTTATTCAACACCCTTTCTTCTTCAGATAATGCCTAGGGCATTTTATTATTCATCTTGATTTGAACAAAAGGCATGATTTTCCCCCTTCTGCTCAGAAACTACCAATGGGAAATTAATATGCAAGGGAACAATGAACCCATCTCCTGGCCTGTGAACTTCCTGGTTGCTAGGAGGCTTGTGAATTCTTCGGATTACTTTAGACTGGGTAGCATGGATGGAGAGATTAAAACAGTCATAGAAGGCATAGTGTTCAAGATTGAAAGTTTCAGAATCTTCCAAAACTGTCCTTTTGCAAAACCTAGGCTAGTTTTATGTGTGCCTAACCTAACCTCTGAAATGTAGTTATCTTGAAGAGATACAAAAGGCCAAGTCTAAATGTCAAGTCCACTACCATAAATCACCTTCCACACTGGTAATTACTTATTACCAGTTAGAAATGGTGCTGCCTCATTAGAAAGCCATCACAGAAGCCTATAATTCTGCTTGAAGCACCCACTGTGTGCTCAATAAGTATGCTAGACCAAAAGGACCACCAGTAACATTTATTTCTAAGTATTGCTAGGATCCCTCATTTCCCAAAGTTAAAAAAAAAAAAAAATCCCTTGTTTTTCAAGAATATTTGCTGGGGGAGTTCGAAAAATAGTTTTTTTAGCTAAAGCTATTTTAAATGACTTAGTATATCTCTGAGGAGGCTATCTTGTCCTTTGAACTCAAGTAATTTACTCACACCAAAAACTCTTTTTACTAAAAATGAAGTATGATAATATGAGTAGTAATTAAAGCAAATGACTGACAAATAGAAAAAAAGAAATGTGAAGAGCTCCACGTATATCTAAGCTGATTCCTTTTCTATTCTATTATATGTGGCAAAAGCTCTGTTTGTACCCAGAGCAACTGCCTGCATATAAGTGGATTTCCTTTACATTCCCTAAAGGGAAGAGAACTTCTTACAAATGATCTCAAAGAGTTTCAATATAGCATCTGTTTGTGTCAGTACTCTCATGATGAAGGAGCCATATTTGGAAAAGAAAGAGATAAGATGCTCCCTCCCTCAACTTACCCGCCCCCCCAAAAAGTTGACTTTACCGACTCTCAATGCTCACTGTAGGTGTTTGTCTTAATATTTACTGTTCCTTCCCATTAGCACCAATACCTGCTTTTTATTCCATGCATTAGTTAACACTTAAAATAAAAGAATAAATAACAGCTCTCCCTCCCTGGGCAGAAATTGCATCTTACCCAACCAACTCTGTAACCCATGAGAATCAGGAAGACACTCTGCCTTGAGGAGGCACTCCACAAAATGCTGAATGAATGACACAGCTCTTCTTGTGGTCTGTAATTGAACACAATCTGGGCAAAACACCACCAACCTGAAACAAGTTACCTTTCCTTATCACTATAAGACCATCTTACCTTCTGGAGGCCAAGAAATGAAATCCTATAAAATTAAAAGCCTCATTCCTCAAAAATGTCTTGTAGCATTGGCAATAGTAGAGAAGTTCTTCTGCAAAGACTATAAATGTGATGATAATAATGAAGCAAGGCCGAAATAGACAAAAAATTGTCTCCTTGGGAATGAGCTTGAGATTATTGGAGTCTTGCAGGTTTGTTGAAGAAATTATGGCCACCTGCCCTCCTATACCTTCACAATTAAATCTTTCCTTAGGGAGGCAGAAAAGAGGGGCCTGCTAAATGTGGAATGAAGACATACAAACCCTAAGAATATGAAAGCCAGGATTATCTGAACACTCAGTGCAGACTTGGGCTTATGTACATTTGTGTTTTGAGGTTAGATTTGGATCTAGGTGTATTTCAATTTTTTCTGTCACAAGTCTGAAGAATACAGCAACCACAGCAGTGTCTTTCAAATTACAGAATTATAAACTGTAGTTGTCACTTCCTTTACAAATTTGGCTTTTCATTTAAGAGAAAATCAAGGGAGCCTTACTGCCAAAATACTACAACATCCTTATGTAGCCTGATTTTGCAATAAAAAAGATAGTTATTTTATTTAGGTTTTATATGCATGGAAATGTGGTCACAAGACATTTTTAAAGCATGAGATGCTGATCCCAGTTTAAAAGGACTTGCTGTTTTAAGAGAAAGATAGGAAAGCTTGACTATAAGTATCAACCACAAGCTTAAAACAATCTTCCCACTTAAGACAGAGCTTAGAATGGTATAATATGTGGTTTAAAATAAAATTCTGATTTTTCCATTACACTGTGTTTAGAAGCAAATTGATTCTTTTCAGCATGAAAAAAAATACATAAAAAATGGTATCTTACACATCCTTACATATAAGGTTAACAACAAGTAAGGAGAGAGCAAAGAAAGATTTCCAGGATTTTCCTCCTTCAGCATTTCAAGTATATTATCCTTGGGTTCCCAAATCACGAACCAAAGCCATTCCGCCTTATTTCCAAAGAACCAACTCATTCAGAAAGGCTTTTAACGCATGGCATTTTAAGATGAAACCTATTTTGAAGCCTTCACTTCCATTTACCGTTTTGTTTGTCCTTTCTGTCTGACATGCAAATACACGATACTGCCTCCATTCTTTCCATGCAACCTAATTCAAAGCAACATATGTTAAATCCACGCAGAATCATGTGAGTATTCAATCCGCATACACACCATTACCCCACAGAATGCATTCAATGAGCTCCAACATAGTTCCCTGCGTGCAATTCGGAGAAGCCTGGGATGTATGTATGCAGGGATCTCCCCCGACTCGAACCATCCAGAACGGCGCATCGAACCTGTTCCCTTTTAAGAAAAGGGGGCCGTTTAAATACCCACTAAGGTAACTGACCACAATTACAGGAGCAAGCCAGCCTGGTCCTGCGGGCAACACTGGACGCAGGCTCTTTCACAAAGCTCAAGGAGGCTGCAGCGCCGGAGCTTGCAGTCATTTATCTCCCTGCAGCCAAAACGCCCGGCTCGTCCCCCCTCCCGGATTTTACCTAACTAATAGCTCCCAAACCCCATATTGAGAGGGCCTGCTGTGGATCTTGCGGAGGTACAAAATGGTGGATGTGAGCTAATTTTTCCCTGCTTTCCCCATAACTTATCGCATCCATCACCGCCGGTCCTCTGCTCCAAGGACCCCGGCGGCCGCGCACCCGAGCACGCCCCGCGAACCCGGCCCGGGGGCAGAAACGCGGTTACCAACCTGATGTCATGTAGCCCCGCGAAGCCTGGGGCGCGAAGGCCGCGGGGAAGCGCTTGTGCAGGCGGTAGTCCTTCTCGCTGCGGGACCTCATGCGGTCCGAGGCCCGGTCCGAGAAATCCGAGCTAGGCCAGGCTCGCCGCAAGGTTGTGCTCCGGGTCTTCTTCATGGTGGGGAGGGCGACCTGCTGCCCCGATCCTCGGGGCCTCAGCGCCGGGGCGCAGCGCGCTGCTTCATCCGTCTAAGGCGGGCACGACCCGGGCGGACTCTGCGCACATTTTCCCAGCCCCTCCTCGTCGGCGTCTACACCGCCAGCTGCGGGTCCGGCCCTCCCCACGCCCCCCCACACCCCCACGGCGAAGGCTCCGATTTTACACACGTCCCACAATGCATTACACTTCATTTGCAATCCGCCCGGCTTATAGCTTCCAGATTCCTGGGGGGAAAGGCACGTTAGGAGGCTCCCTGGCCAGGAGGAGGCGGGGAGGGGGCGGGCGGGGTGGGGGCGCCGAGACTTGCAGCGTGAAAGCAATGGGAGCGCAGACAATGGCCCGATTCAGCGCAGGAGTGCTTAGCCAACTGTGAGCCACGGCACAAAAGACCCAAACAAATGAGGAAGCCCAGGCCTCCGAGGCTGACCCGGGATCCGGCTCCCGGGAAGCCGGAGGGGCGGCCGCAGCCCCACCGCGTCCGGCGGCTCAGCGCGAGGCGTGGGGATGACAGTGTCCAAGTCGTGTCCCCCCGGGCCTATCAGCCGTGCGGCCCGCAGTCCCCGGCGTAGGCTGGCTCGGCCTCCCCTGCAGTCCCTGGGAGGCAGTCCTCATTCCCGTGGTTCGAATGGGGGGCGCGTGAGCACAGGGATCGCGGCAGGCTCTGCAGACAGCAGCTGCGGCAAGGCAGGCGGGCTCCTGCGGAATCCAGGAAGAGCCCAGTTGTCCCGGCGACTGCGGCGCCTCGTCAATCTTCCTCCTTCCGAGGCTCCGGGTGGTGTGCGCGCGTGTGGGTGTGGGTGAGTGGGTGTGTGCGGCGGCGACACGCATGTGCCCCCCTCCACATGCGTGCTCCTACTTACTGGCCCAGGCGGCGACGGGAGCCATGGCTGCCAAGGATGCCGAGCCCGCCGATCGACCCCGCGCGTCGGCACCGCGGCTCAGAAGCGGACACGCAGAACGGGTGTGGAAGGGCAGGAAGCAGGACAGCCGCCCAGTCTCCTGCTAATCACCGAGCTGCCCCGAGTGAAGAGCCGCCGATCCTGACAGGCTTCTCATTTTCATGTAAAACACCCCGAGGCGGCGCTGGGACCTTGGCTGGCGCCCCAGCCTAAGACAGCGCTTGGATATTTACATATTTTTAGGATGGTCCCTCCCCCTGGCCGAGAAAGCGAGGCTTCGTGGGAACCGGAGAGCTGCGGTGCCCTGCCTTGCCCACCTGCGCCAACCCCGAAGTGAGCCAGAGCCAGAGGGAGGGGGCGCCAGCGCGAGCTCCTCCGACCGCGGCAGACACGCAGGCCTGGGTGGACGCCGCCGGGAAACGCAGTGCAAGTGGCCTCGGCTCCCTCTCTCTCCCCCAGGATCCCCGGCGTAAGTCACTGCCAGGCGCCTGGGCTGCACTCAGGTCCACAGCCCCTGCACACCCACGGCTCTGCACAGCTGTTTCTGGCCCAACAACCAATCGCTATAGGACAACAATGCGCGCGGCGCGCGAGGGGAGGAGGGGGCGATGCGCCGCCCGGGCCGGGGCGCTGGGCCCGGGACGCCGAGGTCACGCCGAGTTAAAGGCGCCTGGCCACATTGCTGCGAACCCCAACCACGATCCGCCTACTGCCATTTTTTCCAGACCGCCCCTATTTGGCTTTCAAAAAAAAAAAAAATGCTTTCGAGCTGTAGACAACAAAAATAAATATTTTCCCTTTTAACATTGTATTTTATTTCACGTTTGGGCATTCTTTTTCCACCTGTGACAACGCAATGTTCAAAATCTTTTTTATGCTGTTGTGTCACAGTCACAGGTGCCAAGATGCAAAGACAGGGGACAGGGATATTAAATCTAGGGATATGCTCTTTAGGCTGATAACCCTGGAAACGCCAGCAGATTTTAAATGGTTAATGTTCAGGAAGTTCTAGCACAATCTGGTGCTATTCCAAGGGTTGACTTCTTTGGGAGAGAAACAAGATTCTTGGAAAACCAGGCAGAGGCATTACAGAATCTAGAACTAGAGCGTCCATCGTTCAGTATGCCAAGGCTGCCCTCTGTAATCTGCGGCCAGTATGATCTCTCCCTTGGGATACCAGGGGTAAATAAATGACCACTAAGTCTCTTATGGATCTTATATTTACACTAATCAGTATTTATTACCAACTGTAAACCAATCAGCTAATGCTTAGTGACATTTTTTTTAAGTTAGAATTTTGCTAAAAGTCTCCTTTAATGTAAAAGAACTGCTAAGAGCCTAAAGACTACCGCTTTAGAAGCTATAGGCTAAATGTGTAAAGAACCAAAAGGAAAATAAAAATAATTGTATTAATGAATGCAGAAGATACTGACCTTTAGAGATCTCTATTCAACAGTAAGTACCTCCCATGAATCAAAAATGGTTACATGAATGACTATAATAGTTTGATTTAAGGCTAATGGTGATACCTTTGGCAACTGTGATATTCATTCATTGAACAAATAATTCTTGACTCTTGTATATGCTAGCTAGCACCGTGATGAGTGCTGAGAGATACAATAAGTTCTATGAAGAAAAAAAAATGACCTCTATGGGAAATTATGGTTGAGCTGATGATACCTACAGCACAAGGAGCTACCTAAGCAAAGAGTTTGGGAAATGATGTTTGAAAACATGGGAACAGCCCATGCAAAGGCCCTGAGGTTGGAAAGAGTCAGCTTCTGTTGGAAGAAATGAAAGAAGGCCAGTGTGGCTGGAATTGGAGTGAATGAAGTCATGAGGGAGGGGAGAGCCAGATCATGCAAGGACTTGCAGGCCATGTTAAGAGGTTTGTACTCTGTTCCTGGTGTAATGTGAACCACCAAAGAGTTTAAAGCAAAGAAACAGCAATAGTTTTAGAATTTCTATATAGAAAGGGCTTAGAGAAGGGGGTCTGTTTGAAGGGAGGAATCAGCTAGGAATTTCCCAGAAAGTAAGTTTGAATCACATTTGACTTGAAATTGAAAAAATATTAACTTGTTCATATGAAAAACTGGGGGTGGGTTGATGGATATTTGGGGAGGAGGGCTACAGCTTCATTGAGCCACTTTTGAAAGCAGACCTAGTAGGACAGCCATATCATCCAGTGGTCAAGGCCAAACAACCTGACACAGGAGAATTTGACAGTCATATGCTGTGTTTGTTAAACCACATCAGAGGGCAAAGTAGGAGAGGAAGGGCAGTTAGGTAATTTATTCATTGAATCAGATATTTTGAATGGTTATGAATAGAAGGTTTTCATCTGGCAAATAGTATATTGTGAAATGAGCCCTATCTGAAGAGACTGGACATGTGTAGCCACTGTTAAAACTTATTGTGTCCATCTGTTATGTGGAAAAGATTCACTTTGGTCATTTGTAACCCCCACATCCTCATCTCTCTCCGTCTACCTGAGCCAGTCATGTATGTGGGACATTAAGTGTCCATCAAGCACATTCAGTTTTGCAACCCCAGTATTCAGTAATAGAAAAGTTTAGCATTAAATAAAGAAATGATAAAACAAATTGATTTTATAGAATAATATTCTTGAATCAGGCTTAAGAACAATCTGTGTATATGGTATTTATATATCAAACATATTAGCAACACTAATGAAAGATTTGCTTTGCGATTCTAATTCATTTGTGTTATTGACTTTAGAGTCGTAATGTTCGATTGAAAGGGGTAAGAATTTTAACTTTGAAATTCTCTTCACTTAAAACTTTATGAAGTTTGTAACAGTTGAATGAATTTAAGGGATAATAAAATGTAAACTCCATGAGCCTAAGAGTTTGCTCTAGTGATTGTTGCTCTTTGTTCTTATTTTATTCATAGTTATTGCTCCAGGGGCTAGCAATACCTGGGGGTGACTAAGGAATGCCTGTGAAGCACAGGGGAAGATTTGGGTTGAAGCCTTCCCAGATACATCAACTGCCTTTTAAAAATTAAATGTGTAAGAGTATGACTTGAAAAACCAGATGAACTGGACTTAATGAAAATTTTGAAATTGTATGCATCAAAAGACATTAGAAACAGAGAAAAAAAGGCAAGACACAGAATGGAAGAAAATATTTGCCAATCATAAATATAATAAAGGATGGATATCTGGAATATATACAGGAAGCCTAAAATTTAACACAGCAACAAATATGCAATAACCCAATTCCAAAATGGCAAAGAACTTGAGAAGATATTTCTGCAAAGAAGATACACAAATGGCCAAAAAGCACATAAAAAATGCTCAGAATCACTTATCATTAGAGAAATGCAGATTAAAGCTATAATAAAGTACCACCTCACACCCATTAGGATGGCGACTGTCAACAATAACACAGAAAACAACAGTGGAAAAAAAACTGAAAGCAAGGTGTCAAAGAGATATTTATACACCAATGTTCATAACTGCATTCTTCACAACAGCTAAAATGTGGAAGCAATCCAAGTATTTATCAATGGATGGATAAATAAAATGCAGTATACATATTCAATGGAATATCATTCGGCCTTCAAAAGGAAGCAGATTCTGACACATGCTACAACATGGATGAACCCTGAGGACATTATGCTAAGTGAAAAAAGTCACAAAAAAGTGCTGGGGTTGTGGCTCAGCTGTAGAACGCCCCCCTAGCACGGGCAGAACCTGGGTTCGATCCTCAGCACCACAATAAAAATAAAGGCATTGTGTTGTGTCCATCTACACCTAAAAAATAAATATTAAAAAAAGTCACAAAATGACAATTAGGTGGGCTGAGATTGTGGCTCGGCGGTAGAGCACTCACCTAGCACATGGGAGACTCTGGGTTCGATCCTCAGCACCATATAAAAATAAAATAAATAAAGGCCTTGGGTCCAACTACAACTAAAAAATTTTTTAAAATATTTAAAAAAAAGACAAATATGCAGGCCCGAAATCCCAGTGACTTAGTAGGCTAAGACAGGAGGATTACAAGATCAAGACCAGCCTCAGCAACTTAGCAAGGCCCTAAGCAACTTAGTGAAACCCTGTCCCAAAATAAATTTACAAAATAAAAATAAAAAGGGCTGGAGATATGGCTCAGTGGTTAAATGTCTCCAAGTATATATTAAAAAAAAAAAAACTAATAGTGTATGATTCCACATATATGAAAACTCAGAATAGTCAAAATTATGAGACTCGGAGGAGAATGATGTTTGTTAGGACTGGGGGAAGGGCTAGTGGGGAGTCAATGAGTAGAAAGTATTAATCTTACAAGATGAAACAATTATGAAGATGGATGGTGGTGACAGATGCTGATGTTCTGGATTTATTTCATTTTGCTAAACTATATCCTTAAAATAGTTAAAATTATAAGTTAATTGTGTGTATTTACCTTGATAAAAATAACAACTTTTAAAAAATTAAATATATCAGGGCTGGGGATATGGCTCAAGCAGTAGCGCGCTCCCCTGGCATGCATGGGGCGCGCAGGGTTCGATCCTCAGCACCACATAAAAAAATAAAATAAAAATGTTGTGTCCACCGAAAACTAAATAAATTTAGTTATTTATTTTAATATTTATTATTTAAATAATAAATATTAATTTTTAATATTTATTATTTAAAATAAATATTTTAAAAATTCTCTCTCTCTCTCCCCCCCCCTAAAAAAAATACATCAAATGTACAGATGTAATTAAGTATTCAAGGGAATGTATTTCATTGTGTTTCTAAATAAAACTAATGGTTGAGTAAAGGGAATTTAATCTTCAATTTGAGTTGATCAAATGCTTTTCAAAGTCAAAACTGTAAGAGTTATTGTTTCTATTTTTCTTATTTAAAAAATAAGCAGATTTTAGAAACCTCTAAAACTGTGAGCCCCCCAAAAAAAACCCTTTTGTTCTTTTTAAGTTAATATTTCAGGTATTTTCTTATAGTAACAGAAAGCTAGCAAGTAAAGCAAAGCTTGATATTTGAATTTGAACCATTTGTATACTGAACATTAATTAATGGTCTAAGTATCTGTAAACAACCTTTGCTGTATATAGAATTCCCTACCTCCAACAATTAAAAGTCCACACTGACTACAAACTGTAGATTAAATTAAATCAGAGAGAAACTGAACTACTGAAGTAATTTTTTTAAGGTTGATTTGAGTAAAAAATAAATAAATGTAAACATATAAATGTAAGAGGTAACAGAACTGGTCCTGAACATGTAGCCCAGAGAAGATCAATCTCAGTCCAGAACCTTCCAAGCACATAGCAGCATAGATATAAGGAAGGTCATGGATACAATATTAGCAACTTCCATTAGTGCATTAAATTCATCAAATTGGAATTTCATGTACATTCCATTGAAACTGAAACCAAACTGCCCCTGGCCTCTTCTCTGGCAAAGCATGGCTTTGATGTAGTAACATGACTTCAGCATTCGAAGAGGAATAAGTGTGTATGCATTTAC